CTACGCCCAGCTAATTTTTTCTACTTGTAGTAGAGACGGGGTCTCTCTCTTGCTCAGGCTGGTTTTGAACTTTTGAGCTCAAGAAATCCTCCCACCTTGGCCTCCCGGAGTGCTAGGATTACAGGTGTGAGCCGCCGCGCACGCCATGGGCAACAGGAGGCTGCTGGTTTCCTGCTGTCTGCTTCCTGACCAGGTGGTGAACTGTCACAGGCTGCTGGCCCTGCCCTGACCAAACCCTAGAGACGCCGAGAAGGGAGAGGGAGGTGCAGGGCAGCCATGCATGCAGAGGAGCAGCGGTGGGCCCTGGTCTGTGCCCTCGGGGTCCTGCAGCCCGGGAGGAGCCCCCGGGGTCCCAGCACCCAGGCTCCCACCTCCAACCCCAGGCCCCTCCCTGTGCCGCCTGCGTCTGCGGGGCCTGTGCCTCCCGCTCCCTGCCCGGTCCCCCGGGATGCTGGCCATCGGCCGGGCGGCTGGGGCAGGAGGAGCCGGACGCGTTCCTGCATGGAATTGCCCCGGTGTAGGGGTCAAGGGGGAACTGTTGTCGTGGCGGCGGTTCAGATCAACAAGGGAAGTGAAAATGGAGACGGACGTGAAGGCACCAGAAAGTGCAGGCTACAAAAATACTATCTCCCTGCCCAGCTGGTGGAACGGGACGCGGGGATGGGAAGCCTCCCACGAGTAAACAAACACAAGGTCTCCTGCCCATGCAACAGGGTAAGATGGAAAACACATTAAATGATGAAACTCTATTTAAAAGGCGCAAGTCAAAACAAATAAATTAACTTAGCATGTTATGAAACAATTACAACAATACCCGCTGCCCTGGCCCCACCCACCCCCGGCTCTAACTAGAGGTCCTCTTTCTGGCTCAAACCCTGGGGTTTTGGCAAAACTTACAATGGCCTCAGAGTACAGTGCGTGCCTTTGGCCCGGGCCCGGCTGGCTCTGTCGTGGGCTCGGCCCCCATCCGCTGGACGTCTGGCAGCCTTCCCCTGCATCCGTCCGTGCTCCCAAACACAGAGCAGGGACGCGCTCTCTCTGCCCTGCAGGCTGCTGTCCCGAAGGCCCGCTGGGGTCATGCCCCTTGCAGACGGGCGCCAGTGTCTCGGGCGCCCAGCACCCTCCACCCCTGCTTCTCATCTGGCCCCTCAGGCCAGTCCCTGCCACGCCTTGTCTCCTTGCCCCCACACCGTCCCATTCCCATCTCTCCCGCACCCAGCCAGCCTTTCCCACCTCCCCAGGAGACACCCAAGACACCCATTGGGGTCAGAGCCTTGACGCTGCCCCCAGTCCCAGCGGGCTCCAGCCCACCCTTCAAGAATCAGCTTGGTGCCAGCGCCTCTGGGAAGCCATGTGGGCAGAGTCACACCCCCAAGGATGCCAACAGCCTGACCCCTGGGGCCTGTGACCGTGCTGCTTATATGTCAGGGGGGGAATTAAGGTTACAGCTGTGATTAAGGTCACTAATCAGCTGACCTTCAGATGCGGAGATTATCCTGGGTTTCCCAGCGGCCCCAGTGTGAGCCGAGGGCCCTGACACGTGAGAGCCAGAGGCAGCGGGCCGTGAGGGCCACTCAGCCACCACCCTGGCTTTGAGGAGGCGGAAGGAGCCAGGGGCAGAGGAATGCCTCGTGCTCTCTCCTTAGGGCAGGGCCGGGGGCTGTCCCAGTGTCCCCACCTCTGGACGGCAGACACACAGTGGGGGGCTCCAGGCTTAACGAGGAAACGAACTGATGAAAATTAGCAGCTGCCAGAGCGACTGTCTCCAGAGCCATTCTTCCAGTCCACAGCAGCCCGTCCTCCTCCTGAGGACAGCCTCGGCCCCCGGCCTCCTCCTCCGTCCTGGCCATTTCCCAGCCAGCTTCTCCCCGCCATGGCCGGCTTCTGGACACGGCCTGCCCGTCCCCGGCCCGGGCCAGTGCCCCTCAGCTGCTCCTGCTCCCGGGGAGGCCCCGCCGGGCTTTGCGGAGCCGAGTCACCTGAGCCCCAGAGGTCGGCAGGCACAGTCGCGCGCTCTGCCCACGTTCTCTGCAGACGGGGCGATTTTGATGCTGTTACATTTGCATTATCTGCCCTCATTTCCTCTTCGCTCTCCCCGAATTTGTTTTTTTGCTGAGTTAACGAAAAGAGCGTGTGCCCTGCGCTTACCTCTCGCAGTGCTCGCTCGCGGCAGGGCGGTGAGGCCGTGTGTGACTCGGCCCTCCTCGGGCGGGCGGGAGCTGGGAGCCGACACCCTGTCCCCAGGAGCCAGCGGGGTGGGGGCAGGACGTGGAATTCCGGGGCCCACGCAGCAGCGCTACCCGTGCAGGGCCCTGACCAGCGCCCCCCCCCCCCCGCGGACAGCCGGACGCCCCACGCGGGGAGCTAAGTGTCGTCCGTGGCAGGAGCGGCCGGTCTCCCTCGAGCTCCCGAGAGAAGGACCCGCTCCCCACCCTCATGACAGGGCGGCCGCTCTGCGTCTGGGACCCTGAGGCTCGAGATCAAAGTCTGCTGAGTAAATCACGGGAAACGGAGCGCGGCTCCTCCCGGCCCCTTCCTCAGGCCTCCGCTCTGTCCTCAGCCACCAGCAGCTCCCCGGCCAGCAGCCACCCCCGGTAGCCGGAAAGAGTGTCAGTGATTACCCAACTCCGACGGCAGGGCCAGCTCCAGACTCGCCCCTCTGCCGCTCCCTTCCCGCTGGCGGAGCCGGCTCGGACTCCGCGCGTTCACCCCCAGGCCCGAGCGGCAGCCCCTCCCGCTCGCCCCGGCCCCCAGCCCCTGGAACGGACGCGTCCCCCAGGGCTGTGCAGGGAGGTCAGACCCCACAGAGGAAGGTGGGCCGCAGGACCCCCGAGGAGTGAGCGTGGGTCTCCTCTGCAGGGCACTCAGGCCAGCCGGGGTCCCGGGACGCAGAGGGGCTGCCTGCAGGGGCGCCTTCCTCGGGGAGGGGAGAGCCTGTCAGACAGGGCCGACATGGCCCCCCGAATGCTGCAAGGATGCCTGGTGGCCGTTACCAGAAGCTTCTACGGGAAACAGCACGCTGTGGGCCGGATGGTGGCGGGGAGGAGAGGGCTGCAGCCGGCCACGGGCAGCACAAAGCCCCGGCCCACGCAGGCCCTGCTTTCCATTTGCCCCCGGTCCCCGGGCTGCAAGGCGCTCGCCCGAGCCCACGCGTGCACAGCGGGGACAGGCGCTGGCAGGAGAGTTGGCCGTGGACGCGCCTGCCCTTTGCTCGCCCTCACCCGCAAGCCGTCAGCGGGGTCAGGGAGAGAAAAGATAACCTTGAGCGCGGCAGTTAATCTTTACCACGCCGCCGTGGTAAACACGGAACTTAGCATAGTTTTATTTTTTTTCCCCCAGCACAGCAGTCTCAATATGTTTATAGTATAACAAATAAAAGCATTTTCTTGGAACCTCCAGGAAATTAATGGCTCATTTTTCCTGGCAGGATGATGTGCGGGCACTAAATTACCTTGCGCTGATTAAAGACAAGCGTTATTGCCTCTCGGCAAAGAGAAAAGGGAAAGGGAGAACGGAGCCCAGTAGCGAAGGAGGCGGCGGCGCGAGAGACTAAGCAGGCGCGATCCGGGCCGCTCCGGCGCGGTTCCGGGTGCCGCATCCCAGACGGCACGGGCGCGCGGGGCCGCGGCCACACGACGTCCCTGGGCTGTTCTCACGGCGAGATGAACAAGATGCTCATGAAGGACCTGCTGTGTGTTTGGTCCTTTTGTTTAATTTCCCATGTAAAAAACGCCCTGCAGGGCGGGCGGCATGGCCCTGGGTTTGCAGCTGCAGAAGCCAGCATGGGCAGCCGTGGCCGTGTCCCCAGGGGCAGAGGCAGCACCGGGCGTGCACGCGGGCCTGCCGGTGGGACCTGGGCCAGGGGCCCCCAGATGAGGTTGTGTCTGGGTGGAGCTCGGTGCCACAGACATAGACTGACTGGTTAGGTCACTGAAGGTCCGTGGAATCAGGGGCAGGTGTCCAAGAGTGTCACTAGCCTCTTATCTCCTGTTTCATGGCACTGGCACACACACACACACACACACACACACACACACACACACACACACACAGCCAAGCACCGGCTGCAGATGTCACCGGTCAGCTCCCCCCAGCCTGGACGAAGGGAGGCAGGGTGGTGGTGCTAACACAGAGTCCACAGGCCGACTGAAGTCCTGGCCCTGCCTGCCCACGGATTTGCCACGTGGCTACACCGCTCAGTGCCCCCGCGCACAGTGAGGGGCCGCGGGGTAATTTCTGAGGTCCCTTCTCATTTTGTATTCTATGATTCCATTAATGCTGTGAGTGGATTTTAATGCTAAATGGAGTCCATGAAGGCTGAATATTTCTCGAGATTTAAAATATCTCTCTACTAATTGAAACTAATTCTCCAAACTGCGCATTAAAAGCCTAGGGCTGATTTTTCTCTGTGATAGACCCTGACAAAGTGGCACGCGGAGGCAAGAGGGCCTGGAGCGGGCGCCCCCCCTGCCTCTCGCCGCTCCCCCCTGCGGAGGCCTCTAATTTGTATTAATGCGTCTTTGCTTTCCTGGCCATCCCACATCCTATGCCACTTAAACTGCCTAATGCATGCCACCTCTCTCTCTCTCTCTCATTTCCTCTTTGCTCATTCACCGCTCGGAGCTTGGCAGACTAATGGCCATGATCATTATGATGAGCTTTTAACACTGATGTGCCTTGCTCTGAACAGAGTGTGGCTTCTGCTCAAGAGAAGGGAAATTTAAATCCCGCCGGCAGGGTAAGTGGGGTAAAGAATGTCGCTGTCCCCAAACCGGGACGTCTGGAGGAGAGGCTGGAGCTAGCAGCAAGAGCGTCAGGGCAAAACAGCAGTAAGAAAAACACCGAGAAGCAGGGCAAAGGGCTCCAGGTTCCGTCTTCAGCCTTCCCAAGCCCTCCCTGCCACAGAGCCTTCTAGAAATGGTGTCTTCCCCCAAGAGGCTTTTGATTTTCTAGTAGTTTAAAGACATGAGAAGTAAAGGTTCACGAAACAGTAGCTACCCTTGCTTGTTGCAACGCACGCTCTTTATTTTGCATTGTACTAAAATATACATAACATGAAATGTACTGTTTTAATTCATTTTCTTAGGAATACAGTTCAGTGGCATTCAGTCCATTCACACCGTTGCAATGCCATCACCGACACCCATCTCCAGACCGTTTTCATCACCCCAAACAGAAGCTCTGTACCCATTAAGCACTAACTCCCCACGCCCCTTCCCAGCCCCTGGCAGCTGGTGTACTCTTGCGTTGTCTGATCTAGTCTGGTCTGTTCCACCAAACAGATGCTGGGGAGGACACAGCAGCAAGCTACCTTGAAGCTGCACGCCCCTCCCTCCACAGGTGGGGGCGCTCAGGGGCAGAGAGGGGCAGCAGCGTGCCCCACATCAAACAGAGAGCCGGCAGGTGGCAAGGCAAGTCGCCTGGCGCCAGTGCCCGGGCTCTGCGGACTTGCACTGCGGACTTGCACGCCCGGCCCAGCCCGGCTTGCCCGTTCCTCCCTTTTCCCGGAAGCGAAGAAGACACACAGGCGTGGAGAGAACGGCGTCTGTACCAAACACTTACACAGCCGCCTTCTAGAACCGACATAGGCGTTCATGTTTAGTCACAGTCACTTGACAGTTTTCGTAAAAGAAACGGGAGTATTCGGGACGGGGCTGCTTTGTTGCTCCCCACCCCAGGGCGTCCTCTCCCCGTAGGGAACACGAGTTTCATCCTCCCGAGTTTGGTGTGGGCTTCTCCGGGCCACTGTTGTCGTGTTTACACCTACAGAAAGAGATGTCCATGAATAATTCATAGTGTTGTTTGCAGTGTGTTTTTAAACATTTTCATAAATGATATTACACAGTGAGCTTGCTTTTTCACTCAACGTTATGCTTCTGAGATGTGGCCGTGCTGATACGAGTGCTATGTGTGTGTGTGTGTGTGTGTGTGTTTAAGCAGCTCCCAATTTATTTTCCTATTACAAACAATGCTGCAATTATGCATGAGTCTCTCTAGATAATAGATCTAGAAGTGGAATCGCTGAGTCTTTGTGAACATGCATTTTCAATTTCAATTTTGCTTTGGGTATTGACAAATTGCTTTCCAAAGCGGTGGAATTAATTTACCCTCCTACCGGCAGCGGCAATTGCTACTTCCCTGTATCGCCACTAACCCTTGATATCAGTCTTCCAAAATGTTACCGATTTGATTAGTGTGAAATGTTCTTTTGTTTGCTTTAAATCATATTTATCTGATTATTAGGGAAGCGAGGCGTCTTTTCATATGTGCATTACTAATTTTCATTTTCTCCCTCTGTGAATTGTTTGTTCTATTATTCCGATGCGGGAGCTTAGCAGACTAGCCAGTGAGCCAGATCCGGCCTGTGGACTATGTTTGTATTACCTGCCAGCTAAGAATGGTTTCTACAAAGGGTCATGAAGGAAGATGTGACAAAGATTATATGTGCCCTGCAAATCCTAAAATACTCACTACCTCGGTGTTTATAGAAGAAAGTTCCCTGACTCCTGTTCTGTTGGATCACTTTCCCTGTATTTGCGTATATTCTGGGTATTGGTGGCGTGCCTGCCTGGACCCACTGCCCGCCGCCCACGCAGCCCCCATCTTTCTGCTGCTGTGAGCCAGCCCGCCGCCACTGTCTCGGGCCCTGCTCTCATACATGCTTTGCTGGAACGAGACTGTTTTTCAACATCCTGTCAAGTTTCAATTATATTCAGAGTCTGTCATCTAATGCTTGCTCGCTCTCCAATTCTTAAAAAAAAAAAAAAAAGAATCAATTTAATTCTCTTTATCTTGTGAAATGTATGCTATAGAATTTTGCTTCTGCCCCTGCTGGAGTGTCTAGTGCTGAACTCGTTCTCCCGGCAGAAACCACTGGGAAACTGGGCGAAGAACACGAAACAACTGCCTTCAGACACAGGAGGACAAGCAGCAAGGAGTGTAATCTCCGAGAGAAAGAGACATAAACAGGTTAGCCTCAGTGTCCTGGCTTTTCCCCTGGAGTCGCTTTTGGATCATGGGACAGGGCGGGGGACCCAAGCATAGTATAGGGTGTGACGGAGGCAGGGAAACGGAATTTGGACTTTGGGGAGACTGAGACAACTGGTCCTCATAGTCCAAAGTACCAGAGAGGAGGGAGCCACACAGAGAAGGAGGATTCCAGAATCTGCATAGAGCTTCCCTTAAACACTGACTGAATACTAAGCTACACACATATAGGGTGAAATTCCATGAGACTGGGAAAGAACAACTGCTGGAGAGCTGTAGGGTGAACAACTCCCAGAGCTCATTCAGGACTAGAGTAAGTTGCATTCACTCTAGCCAGACGGAAGAGACCTCAAGGAGCACCCAGGACATTCGGGATGGCCATGACTAAGTAATCAAGCTAAATTAGCTCTAGAGAGAGCCTCCTTTAAACCTGCCTCCATGAAGACTAAAAACAAGCCTCAAAAGGATCAGCTCTGCAAGCCACTTAGCTGCCTGCTAAAATGAACTTCAGCATTCTTTGGAAAAAAACAAAATCTAAGCACTCAATAACATAATCTGAGTAAGATTCATGATAAAAATTACTAGGCATATTAACAATCAGGAAGAGGTGAACGATAACCAGGAGAAAACTCAATCAAGTGAAAGAGATCCAGAAATGACAGAGATAATGGTATTAGCAGATAATGACTTTACAAAATAACCAGTATAAATATGCTCAAGGATTTACAAGAAAACATAAACACAATGAGGAAACACAGAATCGATAAAAATGAGCCAAATGCAACTAACAGAGGTAAAAATTATCTGAAATAAAAAATTTATTGGATCAATTAATAGCAGAATACTCAATAAATGATTAGTATACTAAATTTTTATTTGTCAATTGTACATCAATAAAGCTTTGGGGAGGGAAATCTTAGAAAGATTGAGAAGAAAAAACAAAACAAAGCATACAGAGGCACAAAGATAAAATGGCTCCTGATTTCTATTAGACATAATTCAAGTAAAAAGATAATTAAAAGTCTTTTAAATGATGTAACAAAAATAATATCCTCATAGAATTCTACATTCATTGAAATTACCCTTCAAAAATCAAGCTAAGAAAAATGACTTTTTCAAATAAGCAAAAACTGAGACAGTTCACCACCAGCAAATCTACATTATAAGAAATAATAAAGAAAGTTCTCTGAGCTGAAATAAAATGATACATGATGGAAACTCAGATCAACACAAAGGAATGAACAGCAGCAAAAATAGCAAAACTGTGAATAACTCCAAAAAGCATTGTTTTTTTTCATTTTTAAATCCTCTAACAAATAATTAACTATTAAAAGCAAAATTAATAATGATGTTTTTTTGGAGTTTGTAATATTTGTAGAAATATTATGTAGGACAATAATGCACAAAGGGCAGGAGGGGGAGTGGAAATATATGGTTTATATGTCTTACAGAATGTACGAAATGTTAAACATTTTTTGAAGGTAAATAGTGATAAATTAAATTTGCATACCATAAATCTGAGGACTGAATCCTGATCTTTTCTTTGCCCCAAAAATTCCTTTCTAAGGGGGCCTAGTGAGTCACAGCTACAAATGGTAAAATCTCAGTAAACAGGTTTTCATGACATGGTTTACTTCTCTACCTGAATCCAGTATAGCATCACATGAAGGACAGAAGACCCTTATCTTAACTTAAATATTCCTTTCCTCTGATTCCTGGTCTTTTGGACAAAGCCTAACTCTTTCAGCCAATTGTCAACTAAAGAATCCCTAAATCCACCTATGACTTATAATCCCCCGCTTTGAGATGTATCACCTTTCGGGGCAAAATCAACATATGCCTTCCCTGTATTGATTTCTGTAATTTCTGTCTCCTAAAAGTGTGTAAAACCAAACTGTAACCCAGCCAAAGTGAATCCACTTGCTAAAGGCTTCTTAGGCATGGCTCCGAGCCATGGTCCTCAAATTTGTCTCAGAATAAACCTCCTTAAATTATTTTACAGAGTTTATCTTCTTTTCTGTTGACAAATCCTAGATCAACCTTTAAAAAACATAAAACATAGGATCATGCAGAAGAAAGAATCTCTAAGCTTGAAGATAATACATATGCACTAAACAAATTAGTGGAAGAAAGAGAATACAGAAATAAGAGGCAAGATCAAAACATGCAAGAAATGTGAGATTATATAAAGGAAACAAATCTCATACTCATAGGAATAACAGAGGGAGAAAAAGAAAATTCAGAAGGGCTAGAAAACTTATTTCACTAAATACTGGAGGAAAACATGCCAGGCCTGGCCAGAAATCTTGATATCCAGATACAAGAAGCTCACAGAACTCCTGGGAGACTCAATATGTAAAGGCAATCACCTTGTCATGTGGTTATTAGACTGAGCAAAGTAAACAAAAATAAGCAATTCTCTGAGCAGTGAGATGAAAGCAACAAATAACTTACAAAGGAAAGCCTATCAGACTAACTACAGATTTCTCAACAGAAACATTACAAACCAGAAGGGACTGGATGACTATCTTTAATCTTCTTAAACAGAATAATACCCAACCCAGAATTCTTTATCTGGCAAAATTAAGTTTCATCTATGAGGGAGAAATGCAGTCCTTATCAGACAATCAATCGTTGAAAGAATTTGCAAAGACCAGAACAGCCCTACAGGAAGTACTCAGATCTGCCTTACAAACTGAACAGCACAATAGACACTCTTCAAAATAAAATCATTCAAGAGTTAGGCTAGAACTTGGTCTACATGACAGTTCAAGGAGTAAAACAAGACAACAGGATTTCACCCAACAATATGACTGGAAATCTTCCTAAAATTCCAATCCTCTCAATATATGTGAATGGCTTAAACTGTCCTCTGAGGAGACACAGACTGGCAGTATGGATAAAAATCCACAAACCTAGTATCTGCTGTCTACAAGAAATGCATCTGACTCACAAAGATGCCTTCCGGCTGAAGGTCAAGGGATGGAAAACTATCAACCAGGCAAATGGTAGTCAAAAGAAAGCAGGAGTAGCCATACTATTTTCAGATAACATAAGCTTTAAAATAACAAAAGTAAAAATGGATAAAGATGGCCATTATATAATGGTGAAATGGAAGATCCAACAAGAAGATTTAACAATTCTTAATATTTATGCACCCAATGCAGGAGCACCCAACTACATAAAGCAAACCTTGTCTGATCTAAATAGAATGCTAAGCATTAATCCCATAATAGCAGGGGACTTCTACACTCCACTGAATGAACTGAACAAATCCTCCAAACACAAATTAAGCAAAGAAATAATGGACTTAAACAGAACTCTTGAACAAAAGGGTCTGACAGATCTCTACAGAACATTCCATGCAAAGAAAGCTGAATTTATTTTCTTTTCAGCATCCCACAGAACTTTCTCCAAAATAGATCACATATTAGGCCACAATCAGATCTCAACAAATTCAAAAAAGTAGAAATTTTACCATGTATCTTCTCTGACCATAGTGGTATAAAATTAGAGTTAAATTCCTATAGAAACACTCATCACTTCACAAAGTCATGGAAACTAAACAATCTATTATTGAAGAATTATTTGGTCAAGGAGGAAATTCAGAGGGAAATCAAGAGTTTCTTCGAACTAAATGATAATGGAGACACATGTTACCAAAACCTGTGGGACACAGCAAAAGCATACCTGAGAGGAAAACTAATAGCAATAAATGCTCACATCCAAAAACAGAAAGGTTAGATACTGATAACCTAATGAATAGACTTGAGGAATTGGAAAAAGAAGAGCAAACCAATTCCAATCCTAGCAGAAAAAAGAAATAACTAAGATCAAAGAAGAACTAAATGAAACTGAGAACAAGAGAATTATACAGAAGATCAATGAAACAAGAAGCTGGTTTTTTGAAAAGATAAACAAAATTGATAGCTCTCTTGCTACACTGACAAGAACTCAAAGGGAAAGGACTCTGATAAACTCAATAAGAAATGAAAAAGGAAAGGTCACAACAGACACCACAGAAATACAAAACATTATTTTTGATTACTATAAAACACTATATGCCCCAAAATTACATAACAAGGAGGAAATGGATAAATTCCTAGAAGCATAACAGAATTTCTGAATAGACCAATCTCAAGCTCAGAAAATTGGAGCAGTAATTAATAACTTCTCCAAACAGAAAAGTCCCAGACCAGATGGCTACACTTCAGAGTTTCACCAAACATACAGAGATGAATTCATACCTATACTACAGAAATTATTCCACAACATTGAGAAGGATGGTATATTTCCTAACTCATTCTAGGAAACCAATATCACCTTGATACCAAAGCCAGGAAAGGATGCAACAAAAAAAGAAAATTACAGACCAATATCCCTCATGAATATATAGATGCAAAAACCCTCAACAAAATTTTAGCAAATAGAATTCAGCAGCACATCAAAAAAATAATTCACCATGACCAAGTGGGCTTTATCCCAGGGATGCAAGGCAGGTTCCACATATGCAAATCTATAAATGCAATTCACGTCATAAATTTAAAAAAGAGCAAAGACCATATGATTCTCTCAATAGATGTAGAAAAAGCATTTTATAAAGTCCAACACACCTTTATGATAAAAACTCTTAACAAAATAGGGATAGGTGGCTCATACCTTAAAAGTATCAAGTCCATTTATAGCAAACCCATGGCCAATATCATACTGAATGGGGAAAAATTGAAACCATTCCCACTTTGAACTAGAACTAGACAAGGATGCCCACTATCTCCTCTACTATTCAACATAGTGCTCGAAGTCCTAGCTATAGCAATCAGGCAAGAGAGGGGTATTAAGGGCATCCAAGTGGGGGCAGATGAGATCAAACTCTCGCTCTTTGTCAATGATATGATATTATATCTAGAAAACCCCATGGATTTGTCAATGAGACTCCTAGATTTAATAAATGAATTCAGTAAAGTCTCAGGTTACAAAATCAATATACACAAATCAGAGGCATTCATATATGCTAATAACAGTCAAGCTGAAACTCAAATCAAAAATGCAATACCTTTTACTATAGCCCCAAAGAAAACTAAATATCTAGGAATATATTTAACAAAAGATATGAAAGACTTATACAAGGAGAACTATGGAACGCTAAAAAAAGAAATTGTAGAAGATGTAAACAGATGGAAAAATCTACCTTGTTCATGGATTGGTAGACTCAATATCATTAAAATGTCAATATTACATAAAGTGATCTACAGAATAAATGCAATCCCCATCAAAGTACCATCGTCATTCTTTACAGATCTAGAAAAAATAATTCTTCACTTTGTATGGAACCAGAAAAGACCTCATATAGCTAAAGCAATCTTAAGTAAAAAGAATAAACTTGGAGGCATCAGTCTTCCAGACTTCAAGCTGTACTATAAAGCAATAATAATTAAATCAGCATGGTATTGGCACAAGAACAGAGGCATCGATGTTTGGAACAGGACTAGATTCCATAGATGAAACCATCTGCATATGGTAACCTAATCTTTGATAAAGCAGACAAAAATATACATTGGGGAAAAGAATCTCTTTTCAATAAATCATGCTGGGAAAACTGGATAGTTACATTCAGAAGAATGAATCTGGATCCCTACCTCTCACCTCTCACAAAAATCTATTTAAGATGGATAACAGACTTAAACCTAAGGCATGAAACCTTAAGAATCCTAAAAGAAGATATTGGGAAGACTCTTTCAGACATTGGCCTAGGCAAAGAATTCTTGAAGAAGACCCCCAAAGCAATCACCACAGCAACAAAAATAAATGGGATAATAAATAAATGGGATATGATCAAATTAAAAAGCTTCTGCATAGCCAAGGAAACTATCATTAGAGCAAACAGAAAACCTACAGAATGGGAGAAAATATTTGCCCTCTTCACTTCCGATAAAGGTCTGATAACAAGAATCTATCTAGAACTCAAAAGAATTAACAAGAAAAAATCAAACAACCCCATCAAGAAATGGGCAACAGAAATGAACAGAAACTTTTCCAAAGAAGACAGAATAATGGCCAATAAACACATACAAAAATGCTCAACATCTTTAATCATTAGAGAAATGTAAATCAAACCCACAATGAGATATCACCTAACCCCAGTGAGATTGGCCTGCATCAAGAAATCCCAAAACAACAAATGCTGGTGAGGATGTGGAGAGACAGCAACACTCTTACACTGCTGGTGGGACTGCAAATTAGTGCAACTTTTGTGGAAAAGAATATGGAGATGCCTCAAAGAGCTAAAAATAGAAATACCATTCCATCCACCAAAAGCATTATTAGGCATCTACCCTAAAGAGCATAAGACATTCTATAATAAAGACATCTGCACCCAAATGTTTATGGCAGCACAATTCACTATTGCAAGGACATGGAAACAACCCAAGTGCCTGTCAATTCATGAGTGGATAATTAAAATTTGGTATATGTTTACAATGGAATAATACTCAATTCTAAGAAATGACAGTGAGCTAGCACTGCTCCTATTATCCTGGATTGAGTTTAAGCCCATTATCCAAAGTGAGGTGACACAAGATCAGAAGAATGGGCTCCACATGTACTTGCCATCAAACTGGTACTGACTGATTAACACTATGGTGCTCAAATGGTGGTAGTGTTCACCTGGGATTTGGGGGTTGGGGGAGTAGACCCACATCTGAGGGATGTGGTGAGCAGTGTGGAGGGGAAGGACATACCTCTCACCCTTGCTAGGGAGAGGCAGAGATATAAAATGCAACCAAAAAAAAGCTATAGAGGAGACAAAATGGAATGCTAAAATTACTCAATCCAAAAGAATGCAGGAAAAAAGTGGCACAGGATCAATGAACATAGGACAGGAGGTGGGGTGATAAAACAAACAGCAAAAGTATAGAATTAAATAAAAAGTATAAATGGTCTAAACTAAGAGTAAAGATTATCAGACCTTATTTTAAAAAAAAAGCAAGACTGGAGACTCCCAATTTCAACTCTGACAGAGAAAGTAGTTGAAAAGAATCACTCCCATCTGAAAGAAATAAAAATATTCTACCCCCCAAAATAAATTTCTTTCCTGTATTTTGAGATGGCTGTCAGAGGGCCAACAAACAGGAGTGGCCCCGCAAAGCTGTCTCCTGTGGGGGAAATTCACATATACGGTGAATCTGCACTGATGCAGAGAGGCCTTCCCTCGTCCAGATCCAGGAAAGGTTAAATGGGAGTCTGACACCTTAAAGGTCTGAAAAGAAACACCTGCCATCTATTCTCTCCGAGGGCTGCTTCCTGTGGGAAGGCCTCCTCTCCCCTCCTCCCCACAGCCTGTCCTGCCACTAAACCTGATTTGCCCCCATCGCCTGTTTGGGGCGATGCTCTGAGCCCCCGTTCTTTCTGCAGCCTGGAGGTGGTATTGACGTATATGCCTCTGCACCCCGCCAGGGCTGGGGGCTTCCTTCTGAAGGCTCCTGTGCATACGTGCTGAATTAATTCGTTTGTCTTTTTTTCTATTAATCTACTTCATGTCGGTGATTTTCAGGGAAGCTTTGGGGAGGGCCAAGTTGCACTATGAGCAGGATGATCAAAACTCTGTTCTTCTGGAAGCTTCCATTAAGAAAATCTAGGACCAGATATGCCAACAAAAGGGTAAGAATTTCTTTCCAGCCAGGCTCCCGGCCTCTCTCTCTCTCTGTGTGCAATCTGATCAGGCAAATGGTAAAAAAAAAAAAAAAAAAAATTCACTGTTTCTTCTACAAAATTTTGATTAATGGGAGAAGAATTTTGTGTGCGGCTATCTTGTGTAGCAGCACTGGTATACATCGTGGTACCTCGTGGTACGAATAGGCACATCGTGTCATCCCTTTCCTCCCAGGAAGTCTTTTCCTTTGTCTTTATCTTTCTGTGTTGTTCATAAAGAGAGGCGCACGCTCTCGTCTTGTTTGCTGTCCCCGAGACCTTGACTTGTGACCGAGGGTGAGTACTTACTTTTGGTTTTTGCTGTCCCGGGGGTGTGATTTTCCAGTCGTGCCAGGTGGCCAGTCTGAAAACGGCTCAGAACATGAGACTTTTTTTTGCTCATGATACGTTAAGCTCTCGGGAAAGTTTGTCTTGATAAGTCCCGTCCCTGAGGGGCTGCTGTCATCTCACCTCTTGTTGCCGGGTGAGTCCTGCGGGACGTCCCGTCCCAGGGGAGCCTGCCCAGCACCACAGACTAGCAGGCCTGCTCGGGGCAGCCCCCCAAAAAGTCCGTGGGCCGCTGCAGGCAAACACCATCCCTGACTGTCTGTGACGAGAGTCTTCTACTCTCTCGGCCTCCGTCTGTCGGGGAGTGACTGTGGAGGGCAGGGTCTTGAGGACTGCCTCCCCTTTGAAGAGCCTGTCTGGGTTGAGTCATGGTCGGAATACGTGCAGCGTCGGAAATTCTAATTGTCAGTGGCGAGAAGAGGGATCCTTTAGACTCCTAAATTAGAAAAAAAAAAAAATTAGAATTCTCTTCTTCTAAATGATGAGAAGATCAGATCAGAAAAACACATACATAATAGTGTCATGGCTAGCCTTAAAAATTCTCTTAACTAAATGATACAGCAAAAAGCCTTTGTAAGCTCAAAGTGGCAGCTTTAGGTCCCCTCCCTGGGCGGCAGTGCAGGCTGCCCCCACCGTGTGGCCCCACTGTTTCCTGTCCCACTTCCACTGCTGCGGCATGGGTTCGACTCCTGGTCGGGCAGCCAGGCCCTTTCGGGTTTGCTATTTGTGTGAATTTTGGCTTTTTGAGGCACCCTTTCGCCTCCTTAGAGATGACTGGTGCGTCCTCGGTTAAGTCCTGTCCTTGGTTAGGGCTAATTAGTTTCACTTGGGAGGGTTCCTTGGGTTAAAAAAAAAAAAAAAGTTCGAAAGCCAGTAATAACAGCCGTTTGACCTGGATAAAATCTTATAATAAGAGATTGGAAAGGATTTTTTTAAAGAGCTCTGGTCAAAAGTCAGCTTAATTAAGAGCTGATATTCAAGCTAGAGATTTAAAAAAAAAAAAAAGAAAAGATTTTCTGCTTTTTCTCTTTTGTATCCTTTTTTTAAAAATTGTTTTCAGTTGACTGAAATCTCTTTCTTAAGTTACGTGTTCAGTCCTTCTGTTCATTTCTTTTCTTAAAAATTCTTCTCCCATTTACTTCTATTTCTCCGTCCTCTTGCCACCCTTGATGCCACACAAGGGGACCTAAAAAGATTTTTTTAACAGCCTGGGATCCCTTAAGGAACACAGAAAAAGCACCACAGATTCCTTTTTGGGGGAGAAACCTCTGCCTTTCTTTGTGGAATCCCAAGAGTTGGAAGTGGACAGGTTCCTCTCAAGTCGAAAGCTCTACTCCCTTTGCATTAAACTCCTTGATCTCTTTGGCTTTCAGACACATACACAGGTGCATGTGTATGTTGTATGTTGTGTCTACATACATGTATATGTCTATACATATGTTTACATATCTTCTACATGCAGTTACTGAATTAACTTTAAAAAATGAGTACTCACAAATCAAGTAAACAAGCCCAAATGCTTCTTAAGTTCCTGTGATTTTAGTAATCTTTGGTAAATAAAGATAGCTATAAAATTGTTGGTACAATAAAATAGAGATGCCTTCGGAATTTAATTGGGACGTTTTTGCCTGGGTCTGTTGGTCACACAGGTTGTTACCGCCTCTGCTAGGCGTGTTAAGGCCATGAAACTGTTGCTTCTATTATATTGTTGATACTCAGTAAACTGGTGAGTTGATGTCTTTGGATCTGAGCGTTTAGATTCTGAGGTCTAGACAAGTGACCGTGGTGAGGGCTGAGGACAACAACTGGGCCCTATCCTCCCTGGCCCACCTGCGTCTCTTGGCCATGCTGGGGAGGACCGGATCCTGCAGGCACCACCTCCGCAGCCCTGTCCTTTGTCTTCAGATCTGCATATGGTGCATAACTATAATTGCTTACTTCCTAGATTTTCCACTAAAAACAAGGATTAGTTGAGAGTTAACATTGTAATTAACATATGTAATTATATCAACTAGATACAAGAGAAACAATTCTGTATGCAAAGTGTATAAGGAAAAGTGGGATGTGTCTTTGGTAAAGAGAAGGTTATAAGAAGTCATGGAAATGTGGTTTTTGTTAAAGGGAAAGTAATTTTGCCTGGTTGAGAAGCTTTTAGAAGTTGCCTTAAATTGAAAGGAAAAATAATGAATAAAACTGAATGGATATAGAAAGTTGGGAAAGAAAGAGAGTGAAAAAAAAAATCAAAATGTTGTAAAAGACTCATGGAAATCCTACCTTATGGTCAAAACTGATTGAAATTTTATGGATTTGTTTATAAGGATTTTATTCAAGTTAGTTGTAGCATTAAGAATATACCGATTCAAAGGTAAAGTCTGATTTCCTCTTTTAAACAAGATTTTTGTGTAGTACTAACAAGAGTTATTAAAAGACTTTTGTTTACCTTTTGAATAAACTGCAAAAAAAAGAGAGAGAGAGAAGGGAGAGAGGGAGGGAGAGACAGATTTTCTTTGCCTTATGCTATCTTTATTAGGTCTCATAATTGTTTGAGAAACTGAGTCTCCTTACTATCAAAGCTTTTTACTTTTAAAAATCTTTAAATTATCACCTTGGGTAAAAGAATGACTGTTATTTTACAGTGACCTGTGATCCTACTTGAACAAATGCATTTTAAACCTTTGATATTTGATAAACTTCCCAAAATCAAAATTTCAAATCCTAAATTCAGTCTTTTCAACCTCAAACTAACTTTTTGAATATTAAGACCCCTAGAAGTCCCAGAGAGAGACATACTGGGCTTATTTATTTATTTGGCATGTCAAGTCATATGGGAAGCATTGTCAAATAAGAAATGATGTTCAGCTTCTCAGGGGTTACATTTGTATAAATGTGTTATTCATATGTGCTCCAAAATTGTGTGAGATTCTTAAAATTCTGGCATGTCTCAGTATATTTTATGAGTAACAATTATAATTACTATGTTAAACTGTTGTATACCACAGAGATAACCAAATCTCCTTGTCAATTGTGTCTTTAACCATGGCTATGGTTACACTTTTTTCATCTACAGACAATTGTTGTTTTACTTTGATTCTTCTCAAAAAGTAGTTTACAATCAGCTACACTCCAACATTTGCTTCTTCTTTAAGGAAATTCATAGAAAGGACTCTGACAAGTGCTTTTGAATACAGGTTTCTGATAACTCTGGAGATCTTACCATTGGGCTAGAAAAAAAACTTCCAGGTCTCTAATTAAAAACTTTATGTACTAACCCAACATCATTGGAATGAGAATTAATTGCATGAGACTACACTATTAGAGGACTAAAATAATGTTTTTATGACTTTTTGTTTGAAGCGTTGCAGATTCTTTCTGTGTTTTATTTTCCAGAGTAAAGAAAACTGTTTTTCTTTTGAGCTATTTATAGCTTATGACAAATTGGGTAATGTATACTTTTGCAAACAAAAATCTGAAGCATTATCTTTTTCTCTGATTTCTCCAGAATTTGGAAACTATTTGTGAGGTATTATTAATTTATGGCAATATAGTTATTTGCATAAATTCAATAAGAACCTGTTTCCTTTTGCAACAGGACACAATTGGAGGCATCGGTCGTTTTGCCAACAGTGTATCTTCAGATATGACCAGACTGCTTTGAGAGACTGAAGTTGACCTTTTAGAGCTGGTAAAAGCCTGTTGGAGAGATTGGCCTGGTACCTTGTCTATGCGGTCCCTTTACAAGGTTGCTGACCTGTGGTAAACAAAGAATGTCACTTTCTGACAGGCCCAGGAAACTCAAGTTATTTTGGAAACTCTAGAAGAGAAAAATTCACCCAATTCATACAGTAATTGTAGACAGTCTGATGGCAAATACTGGCTCAGCTAACCCTTGAGGTGTTTAAAGGTCTAACCTGAGATTTCTTATGAAAAAGTTCCAGCAAAACCAATTTAAAAAGAGCCTATATGGCCAATCTCTATTCTTGCTGCACTTTAGGCCAAGTATAATAAAACTACAGCTTACTTTGCAAATAAATTGGTCTTACTATGATTTGTCTTTGGTAGAGCTGGAGGACTGGGGAGAGAAAAACTATGGAACGCCCATTATTAGATTTTAGCCTTGTCCATTATTTCTGAGTTTTTATTATTTGCCAACAATTCGGACTGAATCCCAAATTATTTGTTGGCTGCAAGTCTCCAAACTAATGTTTTCAATTTTTTTCTTCCATTTTTTCTGATGTGGAATCACTGGAAATTAAAACTGTGCTTTACAGCCCTGCAAACTGAAGCTAGACAACTTAAACCTTGAGAGAAACTGTCAGGTTTTGGGGTCTGAAATGTCAGTTCTTGGCACGCACTCATGGCCGAAGAATCACCAGACGCATCAAAGTAAGGCAAGCAGGGAAATGAGGTTTATTGGGGAGAGAAAGATAGGATTAGGCCGGGCGCGGTGGCTCACGCCTGTAATCCTAGCACTCTGGGAGGCCGAAGCAGGTAGATCACTCAAGCTCAGGAGTTCGAAACCAGCCTGAGCAAGAGCGAGACCCCGTCTCTACTATAAATAGAAAGAAACTAATTGGCCAACTAAAAATATATATACAAAAAATTAGCTGGGCATGGTAGCACATGCCTGTAGTCCCAGCTACTCAGGAGGCTGAGGCGGAAGGATCACTTGAGCCCAGGAGTCTGAGGTTGCTGTGAGCTAGGCTGACCCCACGGCGCTCACTCTAGCCTGGGCAACAAAGTGAGACTCTGACTCAAAAAAAAAAAAAAAGATAGGATTATAGGGCAAGAGCAAGATATAGGGTTACAGAGCATGGTACATATGCCACAGATGATGGCCAGGCCCATTGCACTGTCATAGCAAAAGAGGGGCAAAAAGGGCTTGGTTATGGTCTCGGTCATGTTTATAGTGTCCAGATTGGGACCTCCCTCGTGGCTCAGACGTCACCATGGAACCACCACTTTGATTGGACGGTTGGGAGCTGCATGACCTGAGCCTTGCTATGCATGCAGGGTGTTCTAGGTCACTTTCTGGACTCTGTGGAGCCTATGCTGCTCAGGGAGGGAGAGCAGAGGACGCTTGGCTGGCAAAGGCAAGGGCTAGGGAGTCCTCTGCATTCTTTTGCAGTTGGCTGAGTACTAAGTTCTGACTGGCAGATTCGCAGGGTGTTCCCTCCTCCCCCAGGTGTGGCAGTCGCTTGGGACAGGATTAAGGTGGGGCAGGACCAAGGCAGGGACCTGGGGCCCACCCTTGTCCTTCTCCCCAGGTGGGGCAATGGCACCAAGGGGACAGCACCCACCTTCGTCCCTGGGAGACGTGGAATCCCTCGCCGTCTACCTAACAAAATCACAGCAACTTATTATGGAAACAGCCTGTGTGCCTGCTCAGGTGTGGACCACGCAGAAAGTTCACTTAAACATCTGATTCAAACGAAAATCCAGAAAAATCTGCCAAGTTGCCACTGCAACCTGAAGATGCTTCGTAAATTCTAGAAAACTAGTCCGTAGATGACTCCAGACAAATAGCCTTTGTTTTTCTTCCCTTTCTCCATAGAAATGCCCCTTATTAGAGACCCGTTTGCCTGTGTCACATACAGGGGCCTAGCCCACCTGCAGTGCCCCCTGCTGGAATGGGACACAGGTGTCTAACTGAGCTGATCTGGTCTCGGGACTAAGGATATGGGATGACATATTTAAATTATTCTTCATTATGCTTATCCCAGCTGGTTTTTCCACTCCTTTGTCTGTAATTTGCATCTATGGAGAATCCGCACTGATGCGGCCAGGCCTTCCCTCGCCCAGATCCAGGAAAGGCTAAATGGGAGTCTGACACAATTAAAGGTCTGAAAAGAAACACCTACCATCTATTCTCTCCGAGGGCTGCTTCCTGTGCGTTTCCTCTGCACTCCAGGACCACCTTCGCTGGCCAGGCCTCCTCTCCTCTCCCCTCCTCCCCACAGCCTGTCCTGCCACTAAACCTGATTTGCCCCCATCACCTGTTTGGGGCGATGCTCCGAGCCCCCGTTCTTTCTGCAGCCTCGAGCTTCCGCACCTCACCGGGGGCCGGGTCCCCGTTCTGCAGGCTCCTGGGCATGCGTGGTGAATTAATTTGTTTGCCTTTCCTCCCATCCATCTGCCTCACGTCAGTGATTTTCAGTGGATGAAGAGGAACTTTCCCCTCGACCCCTACACGTTCCCACCACAAGAAAGAAAGGGAAAGGAAGGAAAAGAAAGCTGTACAAGGGAATGAATAAATGATGGGAAAATAAAATCTTTCATTGTCTTATTCTTCAGTGATCTAACAAATCTGCATCTGTTCACAGCAGCGGCAGTGACGCCGTATTCAGTGGCTGCGCTCTCGGGTGAGAGACGTGGCCGGCCGCGAGGCTGTGAGTGGTGGGAGGGCAGGACGGGAGTCTCTGTTGCGCACAGCCCACACTCCTGGTGAAACGGGACAGCGTTATCTGAAAATGAATTTGGATTAGTTGAAAATGTACTTTGCAAACTCTAGGACAGCTATTTTAACAAGCAGGGGGGAAAAAGAGCAAGCAATATACACAGTATATAATCCACCCTCACCCATGGGAGGTACAGTGCAAGACCCCCAATGGATGCCTCAAGCTATGGACAGCACTGACCCTTATATAGGCTATGTTTTTTCCCATGCCCATATACTTATGCTAAAGTTTAGTTTATAAATTAGGCACAGTAAGAGATTAACAATAATAACTAATAATAAAATAGAATAATTATAACAATATGCTATAATAATAGTTGCATGATTGTTTTCTCTCCCTCTCAAAATATTTTATTGTCCTGTATTCACCTATTTTCACAGCATGGGTAACTGAAACCATGGAAAGCAAAACTGAAGATTGAGGAAGGCTACTGTAATTCATATGCCAAGAGGAGAGAGAAAATGGAATCATATAAAAGTGCTCAATTAAAGCCAAAGAAGGCAGAAAAAGAGTCAAAGACAAAAGGAAACAAAGAACAAGGGCAAGGAATAGAAAACAATAACAAATATAGTAGATATTAATCCAACTATATCAACAGTCACCTTAAACATCCATGGTGTAAATACATCAATTAAAAGACAGACCGTCACAGTGGAATTGAAAAAAAAAAAAGGAAGAAGAGAAATAAGATGAAGAAGAAGGAGGAGGAGGAGGAGAAGGAGGAAGAGGAGAAGAAGGAGAAGAAGAAGAAACCTGCTTTGAATATAAAGACCCAGATAGATTAAAAGCAACAGGAGGAGAGTCACACCATGCCAGCACACGTCAAAGGAAGGCTGGAGTAGCTATGTTAGTTTCTGACAAAGCAGCCTGCAGAGCAGGAGCAAGGGAAATTATCAGACATAAAGCAGGGCACTTGATAATGATAAAGGGGTCGCCTCTCCAAGAGTAAATAGCAACCCTTATGTGTATGAGCCTAACCACGGAGTGCCATATGTGTGAGACACAATCTGACAGAACTGCAAGAGGAAATAGATGAATCCACCATCACAGCTGGGATGTGAACGCCGCTCTATCGGTGATGGCCAAGGATCCGGCAGGCAGAAAATCAGTTAGGACACCACTGAACTGAACAGCACCACCGTCCAGCCGGCTGTAATCAACACGTGCAGAACGTTCTATTCAACAGCAGCAGGATGCACGCTCTTCTCAAGCTCACACGGAACATTATTCACCAAGGTAGACCAAATGCAAAGCCACACCACAGCTCAACAAGTCTAAAAGAATGGAAATGATAAACTATGCTTGCTGACCACAATGGGGTAAATGGGAAGTCAATAATAGAAAGATAGCTAGAGAACCCAGAATGCCTGGAGACTAAACAGCGCGCTTCTAAATGACACATGGGGCAGAGAATAAGTCTCAAGAGAAAGCGATAAATATTTTAAATTAAATGAAAATGAAAACGCAACTTATCAAAATTTGTGGGATGCAGCAAAAGCACTGCTTAGAGGGAAATTTATAGTATTGAATGCATCCTAGAAAAAAGAAAGATCTAACATCAAATATCTAAGCTTCCACCTTAAGAAACTACAACAAGAAGAACCAATTAAAAAGTAAGCAGACTCTCACCTCTCACAAAAATTCACTCAAGATGGATAACAGACTTAAACCTAAGGCATGAAACCTTAAGAATCCTAGAAGAAGATGTTGGGAAAACCCTATCAGACATTGGTCTAGGCAAAGAATTTTTGAAGAAGACCCCTAAGGCAATAACCGCAGAATCAAAAATAAACAAATGGGATCTTATCAAATTAAAAAGTTTCTGCACAGCTAAGGAAACCATCATTAGAGCAAATAGACAATCCACAGAGTGGGAGAAAATATTTGCTCTCTACACTTCTGATGAAGGTCTAATAACAAGAATCTATCTAGAACTTAAAAGAATAAACAAGAAAAAATCAAACAATCCCATCAAGAAATGGGCAACGGAAATGAACAGAAACTTCTCCAAAGACGACAGAATAATGGCCTGCAAACATATAAAAAATGCTCAACATCTAATCATCAGAGAAATGCAAATCAAAACCACAATGAGATACCATCTAACACCAGTGAGAATGGCTTGTATCAAGAAATCCCCAAACAACAAATGCGGGTGGGATGTGGAGAGACAGGAACACTCTTACACTGCTGGTGGGACTGCAAATTAGTGCAACCTCTGCGGAAAAGAATTTGGAAATACCTCAAACAGCTAGATGTAGAAATACCATTTGACCCAGCAATAGCATTGTTGGGCATCTACCCTAAAGAGCATAAGACATTCTACTATAAAGACATCTGCACCTGAATGTTTACAGCAGCACAATTCACTATTGCAAGATCATGGAAACAACCCAAGTGCCTTTCAATTCATGCGTGGATAATTAAAATTTTTTATATGCTCACAATGAAATACTACTCAATTCTAAGAAATGACAGTGAGCTAGCACCATCTATGCTATCCTGGATTAAGCTGAAGCCCGTTATCCGAAGTGAGGCGACACAAGATAAAGACAATGGGCTCCACATCTACTCGCCATCAAATTGGTACTAACTGATTACAACTATGGTGCTCAAATGGTGGTAGTGCTCACCAGGGTTTGGGGGAGGGAGAGATACACATCTTAGGGTTATTCTAATGAAAGAAATAAAAGATCTAAAATACTAAAAAGATATTCCATGTTTAAGGATAGGAAGGCTCAATAATGTTGTCAGTTCTTCCCAACCTGATGTATAGATTCGATGAAATCCTGATCAAAATCTCAAGTGGTTTGTGAATATTGACAATCTCATCCCCAAGTTTGTGTGGAAAGACAAGACTCAGAATTGTTAACACAATATTGAAAAAGAATTAAGCTACAATAATCAAGACAGTATGGTGCTGATGAAAAATTAGACAAATAGATCAATGGAACAGAAAATAGCTCAGAAATAAATGGTACAAATATAACCTACTGATGTTTGTCAAAAAGCAAAGCCAAGTTGATGGAAAAAGATAGTGTTTTCAACAAATGGTGCTGAGCGAACTAGACACACACGCAAACAAATGAATCTAGACACAGACTTATGCCCTTCACAAGAAAGAAACCCTCAAAATGAATTATAAACCTAGATATAAACCACAAAAGTATAAAACTCCTACAGAATAACACAGGAAAAGGTCTAAGGATTTGGTGATGACTTTTAGATACAACACCAAAAGCACAATCCATGAAAGAAAAATTGGTAAGTTGGGATCCATTATAATCAAAAACATCTTGTTGTGTGAGATACTATTAAGAAACGAAAAGACAAGCCGCATACTGGGGAAAAAAACATTTTCAAATCACATATCTGATAAAGGACTTGTTTGCAAAACACGCAAAGAACTCCTAAAACGTAACAATAAGAGAACAAACAAATCCAATTAAAAATAGGCAAGAGATATGAACAGATGCCTCACCAAAGAAGACACAGAAAGATGATATAGATAAGTAAACTATGGCACATCTATACAATGGAATATTATTTAGCAATAAAAAGGAAAAGAAGTCAATCTGAAAAAGCTATATACTATATGATTCAAACTGTCTGCCATTCTGGAAAAGGCAAAACCATGCAGCCAGTAAAAAGATCAGTGGTTTCCAGGGGTTAGGAGGGAGGGAGAGAGGGATGAATAGGTGAGCACCGGGGACTTTTTGGGTGGTGAAACTATTCTGTATGATGCTACAATGGGGACACATGCCATTATGCACTTGTCAAAACCTACAGAATGTACACCAAGAGTGGACCCTAATGCAAACTGTGTGTTTTGGTTAATAATACTACATTAAGATTGGCTCATCAATTGCAACAAATGTACCACTCTAACGCAAGGCAGAAATCATGCGGGAAATTGTGCTGGGGGGTCGGGGTATATGGGAACTCTCGTACTTTCTGGTCCATTTCTCCAAAAACTTAAAACTGCTCTTAAAAAAAAATCTACTAATTTTTTTAAAAAGCCTCAAAGATTTATCTTCAGCCGCTGGACCTACATTCAAAGCCCTGCACAACCTCAGGACACCAGCTGTGAGACCCTCTGCGGCCACATAGAGAAAGGCCCCTGAGGCAGTGGCCCTGTGTGTGACAGGATGGCCTGGACCTCGTCCCCGGCCCAGCCCCCCTCCCCACCCCAGTGGGCTTCCCCTCCCCCACACAGGCGCAGGGGATGTCCCAAGCGACGTCCGGAAGCTGCGGCTCCTACGCCGTGAGGTTCTCTGCTTGTTCTCGTCTGTTCCTTCCTCCCGCCTGCCCTCGCAGGGCCGGGGCGTGCAGACGTGCGGGCTGAGGACTCCCACCGCCCTGCCCAGCCCTGCTCCATCCACGCCTGCCCAGGCTGTAGGGCGCGGGAGGGGTCTCGCAGCAGCGTGGGGCCGTGGGACCAGCAGCCTTTGCCGTGTGCGCGTGCACGTGTGTGCGCGTGCGTGCGTGTGAGGCCGCGTCTTCCGACACGTGAGGTGCAGGTCCTTTGCCTCCCTGCAGGTGTCTGTGCGCACACGTCTCCTCGTGAGGGTCAATGTGCCCGTGTGGGTGCCCTAGCCTATGTGGGACACCCATGTCCCTGTGCACCTGTCCGTGGTCTGCCTGGAGTGGCCTCCCGAGCCTTGTTTTACCAATTCCCTTTTTAAAAAATGAAGAAGGCAAACAGCCTAATATTTAAAATGGATAAAAGACTGTAACAGGCCCTTCCCCAAGAAAGACATGCGCGTGGCTAATAAGCACGAGAAACAGTACTAGGCACCGCGAGTCACACGTGAAGCGCGAGTGGAAAATCCCAGAGAGACGCCTTGTGTACCGGCAGGTGTCAGTGAGGATGTGGGGAGACCGGGACCGTGGAATGTTGCGTGTGGACAAGTGACATGGTATAACCAGTTTGGAAAACAGATTGATAATTTCTAAATAGTCAAACATACACTCCCTTATCCTACGACTCAGAAATTCTACTTACA